GCGTGCGTGCGTGCGTGCGTGCGTGCGTGCGTGCGTGCGTGCGTGGAAAGCACCTGACGTCAGAGCCCCCAGCAGTCAGATGGCTTTCCTTCTGATGTAGGACCTGTGATCTCTTCATCTCTCATGTACAGTGACAGTCTCTCTCTCTCTCTGATGAAGATGCTCTGGTGGTCTGTGCAGACCCTGATCCCGTCAGACGTCACCATGAATCACTGAGGGTCTCTGCTGCAGCCAGAGTCAGCATGAAAACAAATCACATGTTTCTCATGCACTAGGAGTTTGTAACATGAAGCTTGCAAAACAAACAAACTGCCAGCCCTTATATACTACATAACCTTTCATGTCATATAATTAATGTGCAGTAGACTGTGGGGTATTTATTTTAATCTTGCTTAAAAACTGTCTTGAACGGTTATCAACTGAAAAGCCATGCTTAAGTTGTATCTCTTGCAATCAATGAAACAAATTATAATTGTATCTCAAAGGGGTTTAAAGCCAGTACACACAGGGATTTGACATTATCTTTTTCCAATTGAGCCTCACCCACTTAAAACCAGATTGAATGATACAGACAATCAACAAAAAAAGACTGCAATCTAAATTAAAAACAACCAAAACTGTTTGAGGGAATATTGTCTTGTCATGTAAGATCACATGAAATCTGCTAATAGCCAAATGCTGTTGTTTTTACATACAAGGAGTTTGTGTTGGTGTATATTGGTGCAAGAAAACACAAATTAAGAGACAAAAAAATATCTTAATATCTGAACAAAATCTAGTGTAATACTACCATAAAATAAAAAATACAAAAAATAAATATACAAAAAGGAAATACACTGAGAATATGACAAATCAGTATATCTAAATTTAAACGTGGGAGTACAAATATTTCCATAGCCTTTAATATTAGTTTATGTGTCGTCGCATTGTATTAGATTTCTCTCTATGGATATTTTACCTTCTTGTTTCTCTCTCTCTTTCTCTCTCTCCTTCTCTCCCCCTCTCTCTCTCTCTCCAGGCACTCTGACAGTAGGTCTCGTCCGTCAGTGCCAGACGATCCACGGCAGAGAGCGGACCTGCTTCCCCCCCCAGCTTCCTCCAGAGTGGATCACCACGCTCTTCTTCATCATCCTGGGCATCATCTCCCTCACCGTCACCTGCGCTCTGCTGGTGATGTCCCACTGGCGCCGAGAAGCCGCCCGATACGCCCGATGGATCGCCTTCACAGGAAGTACGTTCGTTTCCATCGTAGCCAGCTCCCTTTGAATCGATAGGGTCTGATTTCACATGTCTAAACGCTCATATTAATGCCCTGATCATGCCAAGCCCTACCCATGATATATATAGAAATAATTGATTTCCTCTCCAATGACTTTCCAGGGTCAAGGACAGTTGTCAGCTAACAGAAAACGACAAAAGTAACAAGCAAAAGACCCTTTATCTTTACCTTTTGAGGCATCAACAACCTGGATATACATCATTGTTCTGTATCCAGTGAGCAGATGTTGCATAACAGAATTCATGAATATTAAAGATTCTTATGCATAAACCTTTTAGCTATAGAATACCACAATGTAGAGTCTTCTTGCACTATTTTATTTGTTCTATGTCCTATATATGTTGCACTGTTGGAGGAGCCTGTGACCTACGTTTTTCATTGCCATATCCACACTGTAGCCAATGTGCAAATGAAAATAAAGCCTTGAAACATTGAAACATTAAGGTCAGTAATAAAGGGCAGGCGTAGGCAAAACTGCCCGTTATAGTTTATAAAATGCCGGTGAAAGTAAGAGATGCTACTGAAGACTCTCCTGTGAAATAAATGCAGTCTACCTCGACATCAGAATTCACTTCAGGAGAAGCTTTTAGTCCGGTAATTACGAACACCTTTACTGCAGAGGAGCTCTTATTGATGGTCCTGTTTCTATTTTTACAGGAAAAGGACAGTTTCTCTGTATAAGAGGTTCAGAGCAGGAGCTGTGGTTTATTCGGCTCTAAAAATAGAAAAATATGAAGCATGTTCTCACGAGTAGTTTCAGGGACAGTTATTAACACACTTTTTAAAAGCTGAGAGCTGCATTAACCATCCTATTGTCTTTGTTTCCCCCCCCTCCTTACTTTGGTGTTCACGGTCAAATTTGACCGGTCCTGTTTTAACTGCTATTACATTAACACAAAAAACATTAATCATCACCAAATTTCAGTTAACACCCTTTCAAACTTTACATATTGTATCAGACTACTGGTATACATGAAGAACTGCAGTAAATATACAAAGAACAGACACTGAACATGGATTGTGTGTGCCAGGTGGGGATGGGCACATAAGGGGGGGAACACATTGTGTGTGTGTGTGTGTGTGTGTGTGTGTGTGTGTGTGTGTGTGTGTGTGTGTGTGTGTGTGTGTGTGTGTGTGTGTGTGTG